CAGCGGTTGTAGCATTCTGGTCGGGGAAGTTCAACTCGGCTCAGCAGAACTACCCGGTGCACGAGGCGGAACTGCTGGCGATCGTAGAGTCACTTAAGCGGTTTCGACCCCTACTTCATGGTGTTAAGTTCCGTATATGCACCGATCATCGGGCATTAGAATACTTGATGCAGCAGAAACACCTTTCTCCTCGACAACATAGGTGGCTGGATGTATTGAACGAATTCGATTTCAGAATACATTACATACCTGGAGAAACGAATACGCTCGCCGATGCCTTATCTCGCATATACAGTGACGAAGCACAGGGTGTCGTTCGCGCCGCCAGCGAGTACGTCGGTGATGATGGAACTGAGACTCACGACTCGGGTCTTCGTCTCGCAGCGGTGACAGCAACATCAGAGCTCTCTAGTCCCGTGTATACGGATGACAGCATATTATCTGTATTCGAAATGACGTTACTGACCCACCAGTCAAGCCGTTTGGCCAACAAACCTCGTCAGCACTGGAATCACAAGGACCACACCAAGATAGCCAACTCACCTGAGGAGGCACAGACTCCGGTGTTCCGTGACAGCGTGGCTGGAGGGCGAGAGGGCGCTACAGGTACAGGTGTTACGGTTGCCACAAGCAACAAGGGGGAGGATATTGTAACAGACTCACCTCCGGCGGGTGATCATACCGCTACCGCTATGGCAAATGAAGCGGAGGACTTACCGCAGTTGACATACACACCTACTCTACCTGACATCATAATGAATGGTGATCCAGGCTTACAGTTCCCAAACTCTTTGAAAGGACGATATGAGGAGGACCATTTCTTTGCAGCAGTAATCAAACAGCCTGATCAATACCGCAACTTTGTACTGAAGGATGGCTTACTATTCATTCGGATCGCTGAACGCGAACTACTCTGCATACCAGATGTGACGATAGGCTCGCGACATATCCGCGAAATCATCATCAGTCAAGCCCACAGCTTACTCGCACATCTCGGAGGACGTAAAACATTAACGTACCTTCGGGATCAGGTATGGTGGCGCGATATCGTGCGCGACACAAATGACTTCTGCCGTACCTGTTCAGTATGTGCTACGGGAAAGTCCGACACACAAAAGCCTTTGGGCTTGCTATGTACATTGGAGGTACCGCGTCGGCCGTGGCAATCCATCGGCATCGACTTCGTCGGCCCCTTACCTGAATCCGCCAACCGGAATGGGACATTTGATATGATCTGTGTAATTATCGATCACCTCTCATCTATGGTCCACCTGGTACCTACCCGTCAAACCTACAAGGCTTCGGAAATGGCTGATGTTATATTTGACACGGTGTATAAGTTACACGGCTTACCAGATAGCATAGTCAGCGATCGTGACTCATTATTTACAAGCATTTTCTGGGAGCGTTTGCATAAACTACTACACACCGATCTTCGCCTATCCACGGCGTATCATCCGCAAACGGATGGAGCAACGGAACGCACGAACCGGACGATGACACAGCTCCTACGGCAATGCATCTCCGCGGATCAGACAGACTGGGCTGAGAAATTACCTGCGATAGAGTTTGCCATGAACTCAGCGTGTTCTGATACGACCGGTTTCTCCCCCTTCTTCCTGAACTACGGTCAAATGCCGCGGCCGATGATCTGGGACTCTGATTCTAAGTTTCCCGGTGTACGTCAGTTCGCACAACAAATGAAAGAAGCAATACTTACAGCGCACGATGCTATACTCGATGCACGGGTCAAGCAGACTCGCCAAGCAAATAAACATCGCCGGCGAGCTGACTTCTCCGAGGGAGATCTAGTTTACCTTTCCACAAAGAACTTACGCTTACCGAAAGGTCGTGCCCGCAAACTCGCACCCAAGTACATTGGACCATTCCGTATTACAGAGATGGTACAACAGGGTTCGACTTATCGGTTGGATCTCTCTCCCGAACTTCGCAAAAGAGGTATAGCGGATGCATTCCATGCTTCGCTGTTACGGATCCACCTACCGAATGATGACCGTAGATTTCCCGGGAGACAGCTTCACCAGCTCCCAGGGTTTGGCGAGAACCCAAAGGAGTGGGCCGTTGACCGGATTTTGTCACACTCGGGAAAGGGACGTGCCACCCTGTTCGAGCTCCAGTGGAAAACTGGAGATGTGACATGGGCACAGTATCAAGAGATACAGCATCTGGAAGCACTCACTGCCTATCTAGATGCCATCGGCATTTCCAAGATACATGCCCTTCCCCTCGGGTCGGGATCACCTCCCGAATACGACCAAGACCTTGAAGCACATTCGCTTCGCGTCCCCGTCGCTGCTCGCTATACAACTTCGCACCCGCGTCGGGCGCGTAATCGCGCCCACAGGAAGCAACCTCGCTTGAATGCCCAGCCTGGAGTGCACAAATACAATAAAGGGCGAAGGGGAACTCACCATCGTTCGTTGCAAGTTTCCCTCACTTGCGACCCCCCATTACCACACGGTCATCATATCTCAAAGTGCCCTCACCATCCTATGCCCTCGATTAATCAGTACACGGCTGAGGATGGCTTGCGTTGGGAGCGCTATGCCGAAGCCGTCCGTCGCTGGCTCAACAACGAGGGACCACACCCCGGTGAAGCCCCGGAAGGCTACAACGAGGTGTTCCGTCGCCGCCAGCAGCGATACGCGCCGCACCCCGACGACTTCCCGAACTTTCGTCCGGCCCCTTACGCACCTGCCATGTCAACCGCACCGGCTATGATGCCCCCTCCACAGCCGGGAACTGTCACCAGCCCCGGCGTCGCCATGTCTGAAGGCGCCTTCGGTCATCTTCTCCAGCACCAGAGTACCTGGATTGAGAAGCTAGTCAGCACCAATCGGCGGTCCCGCACTTACCGTCCGGGTCGCGGCCGTGGGCGTGGCGGAAAATCCAGCGGACGCAACAATAAGCGTT